CCCCCTCCCCCCCCCCGCCATTGTCCTCATCACCCCGCCAGGCCAGGGCCAGCTGCAGGTCTAGCTCCTCCAGATCCTCACCCTCCAGGCTTGGGCGCTCAGACACCCCGCCCCCCCACCCCACCCCCAGTGGCCCAGCACTAGCCTACGCCAGGCTCATGGTGGGTTGGGACTCACCGGCCAGGTCGTGGGCGAGGTCCTTGATGAGATGCCCGACAATGGCATAGGCCACAGCCACCACCAGGAGCGCAGCCAGCAGCAGGTACAGCACATACCTGGGCAGGCGGATGGCATCCAGTGGGGGCGGGCGGTATTCCTCATACAGTGGGGGGGCCTGGCTCCAGCTCTCGGCCCCTGCCTCATCCACCAGCCCCGGCATGGTGGCCACCTGGAGCAGGAGAGGCCCAGGGTGACCCGTGCAGCGGAAGTATTAAGGGGCTTTGGGTAAGAAGATTGGGGCTTCCCTCTGGCCACCATCTGCCTGGATGAACCACGTCGCAAATCACTTCTGCCCACTGCCCCCTCCCTCGCTCAGCTCCCGCCACACCTGCTGCTACCCTGCACACCTCTACCTCAGGGCCTTTGCACAGGCTGTCCCTCTCCTGGAAAAACCTCTGCCCTCATGGAGCTGACATTCAGAGTGGGAAAATGGACTGAGAAAAACATAACCTTAGAGTAAATGATGTATTGGGTGAGAAAATGAAGAGTGGTAGTGGAGGGGGAGGGGCTGGTAAAGCTACGAGGGCGGTTCAAGTTTAAAATAGGGCTGCCAAGGCCATGCTGAGATGACATTGGAGCAGAGACACAGAGGAGCGAGGGACCCAACCATGGGAGTGGTACACGGTGGGGGTAGTGGGGGTGGGGAGAGTGTTCTAGGCAGAGAGAACGGCCTGAGCAAAGTCGCTGGCCTGTGCCTGGCGTGTTGGAGGAACAGTAAGGAGGCCGTGTGGCTGGAATAGATGAGCAAGGAGGAGAGAGAGAGGAGGTGAGAGCAGGGAGGGGACCCAGCAGGTTGTGCAGGGCTTTGTGGGCCTTGGAGGGGGTTTGGGCTCTCCCCCCTCCATCCCCAGGGAGGTGGGAGCCTTGGAGGACTGTGGGCAGAGAAACCTGACTCAGGAGCTCAATGGCGCCCTCTGGCGACTGTGGCCGACCAGGGCCAGGGTAACAGCTGGTCCAAGTTGGTGATGATGAGGCTGGACCTGGGTAGAGGTAGAAGAGGAGAGAAGTGTAAAGATCTGGGATAGGTTGTTTGTTTGTTTGTTTTTTAAATATATTTTATTGATGTTTTACAGAGAGGAAGGGAGAGGGATAGAGAATTAGAAACATCGATGAGAGAGAAACATCGATCAGCTGCCTCCTGCACATCTCCTACTGGGGATGTGCCTGAAACCAAGGTACATGCCCTTGACCGGAATCGAACCTGAGGACCTTCAGTCCGCAGGCTGATGCTCTATCCACTGAGCCAAACCGGTTAGGGCTGGGATAGGTTTTTAATTGGTCACACCTGAATGTTTTTAGGCTGACCACCGAGAATGCTGGAGTGTTTCCATTTCCGGTGGGAGAAGCAACTTCGGAGGCAGTGAGAGGAAATGTAAGGACACACTGGTTTGAGGTGCTTCATCAGGTGGAGATGTGGAGGGGCAGCTGGGCCTCGAGTGTGGAGCTCAGGGGAGCCCCGGCTGGAGACAGGACTCAGCACAGACGAGGTTAGATCCCCTACAGTGGACCAGGCCACCTAGAGAGGTAAGCACCCCCCACCCGCCCCCCAGGAACCAGCTCTGGGCAATGAGGGAGAGAGGACGAAGAAAGCTGGGCAAATGCAGGGTCCCAGGAAGAGGGGGGGCCTGTGACACGGAGATAATAAGAAACATATACTTATCTTCGTCCAAGTTCCTGGCACGAAGCTCCTAAAACCCTGCCCCTTCCTGAGTGATGAGGGTGAGAGGCCCCTTCGTGTTTTGTTTTAAATGAATGCTGCATTCTTTTTATGACTTTGGAGATAGGGAGAAACATGAAAAAAATTGGAGGGAACGAGAGAAACATGAAGAGACACATTGATACCAGGGCCAGGGATCAAGCCTGCAACCGAGGTACATGCCCTTGACCGGAATAGAAACCAGGGCTCTTCAGTCCATGGGCTAACGCTCTAACCTTTGAACCAAATGGGCTACGGCCCTTCGTGCTTTTAAAAAAATATGTATTTTTATTGATTTCAGGGAGAGGAAAGGAGAGAGACAGAAACATCAACGATGAGAGAACCATTGATCAGCTGTCTCCTGCACGCCCCCTACAGGGAATTGAGCCTGCACACCAGGCATGTGCCCTGACCAGGAATCAAACTGCGACCCCCTGGTTCACAGACCCATGTTCAACCTCTGAACCACACCAGCCAGGCCTGTGTGCGTTTTTTTCCCCTAAATATATTTTTATTGATTTCAGAGAGGACAGGAGAGGGAGAGATAGAAACATCAATGATGAGGATCATTGATCGGCTGCCTCCTGCACACCCCCCACTGGGGACCGAGCCCACAACCTGGACATGTGCCTTGACCAAATCGAACCCGGGACCCTTCAGTCTGCAGGCTGAGACTCTATCCACTGAGCCAAACCAGCTAGGGCCCTGTGTGCTTTTTACTCACCCCTCCCACTATACCTGGGCTAGGCTGATGAGGGGCTGGGAGGGGAAAACCTACAGCGGGTGAGAGGACTCTTAGCCCCACCCCGACCCTGCCTGCATCAACTAGCAGAGATTTCATCACGGTGCCGAAGCGATGGACTCTCCACAAAAACCCAAAACGAAGGGGCTCAGGGGCTTCCACGTGCCGGGACGATGGTGTGCCAGTTCCGGGGGACAGAAGCTCCTGTGCTGGGGCCCTTCTGGACCTAGCCCTGTCTCTTCCCCTGTCCTTTGCAATAAATGGGTAAGTAAAGCCCTTTCCTGCGTTCTGGGAGCTCTCCTAGCAAATCCCCAAATGTGAGCAGGGGGTGGTAGGAACCCTGGTGGGTCAGCACAGGAGGACGGGCCTGGAGCCCGTTTAAGTGGTGGTGCCTGAGGGTGAGGCCCTTAGTGTCAGGACTGAATTGCAGGACGCCCAGCTGGTGTCTGCAGAGAAATGGAGAAGTGCTTGCTGTGGAAACTCACACACTTGGTGTCAGAAGAGCTGTGAGTAGAGAAGAGGTTGTTGTAAAAACGGGTCATAGCTGTGCCCAAGGACCACGCCTCCTGGCACCCATGCCCTCGTGGAATCCCCGCCACCTGCATCAGGGTTGTTAACCCACAGAAAGCAGTAAATATGAAACTAGTTGTGAGGCTCATTATAGTGGTGAATGGGCTGCTAAAGGCTGCACCGGGGGTCGGGGGGGAGGGCAGGGACCTGGGATGGCAGTCCGTAGCCCAAGCTCTTAGCCATACCACAAAACCCCTTCCTCATCCCCCCATGAGGGCCTGGGGAGGGGCAGGCTGGAGGGCTGTTTCCTGACCCTCTTGGAGGGGCCTGACTGGACAGGGAGTGGGTGGTGATGTGGGGACACAGCCTGCGTCGGTCACGTCTAGCACAGGCAGATCGCAGAGCTGAGCTCTCCAAACGCCCCCACCCCGCACCCACACTTAGCTGCTCCTTAAGAGGAGCCAACTTAAGCCCCGCAGCCTCCCAACACACACACAGTGATTGCTTGACAAAAATAATTTAATATTCCACTTAAGCAGTGCCTGGGGCCTGTTTGTCACGTGTCCCAAGTCCCTAGCCCAGCCCACCCAGGGCCCCAGGTGCGGAGTTAGAGGCCTAGACCCTGCCCAGGCCCACAGGGCACAGATTCCCCCACAGTGCCTTTCTCTGCACCCCCTCATTCCTGGAGAAGCTGGGCCACACAACCTCCCCAGAGCACAGCCCCACCCCTGCACCCCCACCCCCAGATCCTGGCTCCCATGCCGACATCCCACCCGTACACTGCAGCCTGTGCCAGGCCCTCAGTCGGGACAGCAGAGACCTCAGCCTCATCCTGGGGGTAATCAAGATGCAAAAGCTGCTGAGATCCGGCCACGTGAGCAGGTTCAGGGAGCCAGGGAAGCAAGATCCGATTCACACAAATTCAGTTTATATGCTGAGTCCTCAGGGTAGAGGCCCCGGACCAGGCGGGCAGTGGCTCTAGGAGGAGGGTGTGCGCACCTGCTCCAGCCCATCCGCGTACTGGAAGGCCGGCCCCCTCTCATACTCGTACATGTCCAGGGCCACCTCGCAGCTCTCCCGCACCACGCGCTCGGGGTCGGACACGTGGTTTCATCAAATCTAAGATGCTAGTAATTACAAGACAGCATTTTAAAAAATTATGTTGAAGCAGAGCACACATAAAGTGTATAAAACATCAATGTATAACTCGATAGTCCTCTGGGCCAGGGCCGCAGCCAGCTGGGGCACAGCCGCCTCGTGCTGCAGCTGGCCGAGAACGTAGCCGATCTCATGGCGAAAGAGGGCGCTGCCACAGTGAAGGCCTGCGGGAGGGAGCAGAGGAGTCACTGGCTGTGTAGTGCCGTCAGAGAAGCTGAGGACAAGCGGGGACAAGCGGGGACATGGGCTGGGCACCCGGGGGCAGAGACGAGTGATGACAGGAAGACATTAAGGATGCTGGAGCCAGGTTGCCGAGGCCCTACTCTGCTGACTGGGTGTGTGCCCTCGGGCAAGTCTCCTTGCCTCTACAACTGCCCACCCACCTCTGGGCAGGAGTTAATTTGTGTAAAGCCCGTGGGGATGTGCAGGTGGTGTGGGCTGGTCTTTGTCCAGTGGGTTAGTTTGTTGTTCTTTTCCAAGTCTTTCATACCTTTACTGAGTTTAGTCTGTTTTTCTGCTGGTTACCTAGAGAATCTGTGTTAAAATTTTCCACTAACATGACTGATTTTTCCCTTTCTTTTGTATTTGCCAGTACATACCTGCTTCTCAGTCCAGCCGCCCCACATCCCGCTCCTTGGCCGGAGGGGCCGGGTCCACGGAGAGGTAGGGCCCCGCTGCTGCTGGCTCCCCGCCGTGTTGCTGCAGCCACTCCAGCCGACAGACAGCCAGCTGGCACGTCTCAGCCACCTGCAGAGAAAGGTGGCAGGCGGCCCCTGGGGACATGGTGGTGGGCCTGTGGGCCGCCTTCCTATTCTCTGGGGGTAATTAGGGAGTAATAAGGGAGACAGGGCCAGGGAACGGCTCAGTGTGGGGGTGACATCAGAACCAAGTGAGAGATGGAGTCAGGGGGAAGCAGCCAGTGCAAAGGCCCCGAGGCAGGACCTGCCAGACCTGTCAGGGGAGAACTGAGGGGGAGCTAACCACAAAGGTGACCTGAATACAAGTGGTCAGAACAGACGATGGGCGTGTGGGCCACAGTGAGGACGTGTAATTTTATCCTAGAGGTGATGAGTAGCCATGAGAGAGATGGACAATGGAGGTGCCAGAGAGGTGAGGCCAGCTCCATGGTGACTCAAGGCCCAGGGCAGGGTGGGTTTGGATGGAAATGAAGTGTTCGGTTGTGCCCAGTTTGGGAGCAGCCTGCACCCATCCTGACTGCACCTCTCTCCAGAATTCCTAGTCAAGTAGTCACCACTGCAAACAGACCCGGGTCTGGGGCTGGTCCAGGCGAGGGCAGGGAGAGGGAGGGCCCGGCCGAGTTACCTCGACAACAGGGTCGGTGGAGTACTGCTTCAGGATGTCCAGAACTTCTGGGTCCCCGATGGCGCCCAAAGCCTCCCCTAAGAAGAGCAGGCAGAGAGAGTTCATGTTGATTAGTAGAAAGGACCTAGGCACCACAGGGGAAGCTCACAACAGGCACTCAAAAACGTCTGTCCAGTGAATGACATGAATAGATGAAAAAGGGGCTGGCGATCTACAGCACACCATCTGTTTGTTTGCTTTTTAATATATTTTATTGATTTTTTACAGAGAGGAAGGGAGAGGGACAGAGAGTTAGAAACATCGATGAGAGAGAAACATCGATCAGCCGCCTCCCGCACACACCCCACTGGGGATGTGCCCACAACCAAGGTACATGCCCTTACCGGAATCGGACCCGGGACCCTTCAGTCCCCAGGCCGATGCTCTGTCCACTGAGCCACACCGGTCTCAGCCCTATTAGAAGCTTTAAAAAAATGAGGTTCCTATGGCTGGGAAACAAGGTGTCTCTTCATATCTAACAAGTTGGCATTTTTGTTCACAAATCTGACTCCTGCACAGGAAAAGTTCT